AACTTTGAATCAATTGTGCAGTTGGAGATCTTTATAATGTGTCTGAAACCTGCGTATTCCAGATATGGTACGATCAATGGGTCGGGAGTAAGGTAGTTGTGAGACCGGATTCTGAATCTTTTGGTATCCTGAGATAAAAATGTAAAAGGTGTAAGAGTAAGTAAGATGAACAAAGCATTACCAGAAGCATGAAAAATGTATAACTATAAAAGAAACTTACAAATGCTGCAATATTGTCCCTTGTGCCTCTGTGAGAATCGCCCATTGTGAGAAGAGTCATTGTTGAAAATGCCTGAGATTGTGAAAGAGTTTGAAATTGTAAGGGATTATGAAAGAGTTTGTAGCAGAGAGTGAGACGATTATGGGTGCAAGAGAAGTATGTTATGCTCTGTATTTATAGAGTAAGTGAGGTGGTAGCTGGTGCATGCATGCATGATAAGTGTCACTCTTGCAGTGTAGGTGCAGGCTAGGTGGTAGCCTTGGAGAATGCATCTCTGCATGCATATAACACGATTGGACATGAAGGGAGGCGCCATTGGATATGGCGAAAGAGTACAAAAATGAAAGGTGTCGCCATCCCCATTGGCGAATAAGAGGTGGCATGGGTTGCAGAGTAGGCGCAGGCTAGGTGACAGCCTTGGAGAAGGCATCCCAAATGCATGTAATACTATTGGACGTGATGGGATGAGCCTTAGAGGTTACAGTGTAGGTGTAGGCTAGGTGGCAGCCTTGGAGAATGCATCTCTGCATACATGTAACACGTCTGGACATGGAGAGAGGCGCCATTGGACTTGGCGAAAGAGTACAAAAATGAAAGGTGCCGCCATCCCCATTGGCGAATAAGAGGTGGCATGGGTTGCAGAGTAGGCGCATACTAGGTGACAGCCTAGGTAACACTATTGGACGTGATGGGAGAAGCCTTAGAGGTTAGAACCTTAGTTAATTCAAATTCAGTATGACTTATTTAGTCTTACATTTATCAAAACACTGATTCACTTAATCTCTCAAACCTTCCAACCTTCAAACCTTCAAACAATCAAACCTTCAAACCTTCCAACCTTCAAACCTTCAAACAATCAAACCTTCAAATAATCAAACCTTCAAACCTTCAAACAATCATACGCAATGACTTCTGCACCCCAATATGTCATCAGTGCACATTTCAACGGTGAGACATACATTTGTTCCACCTCTGGGTTTTTGTTTAGAGACACAAACAACATCCAATTTTGTTTAAACAGGAAAGCCAATTTCTTGTACTTCAAAAAACGATTAGAGGCTAAACTTGGACGAGGCCCGATGACACAAATATTTTATCAGAATCCAGTTTTTTTTGGTAACAACCAAATAATATTTTATAAGGTTGAGGTTCAAGATGACGAGGATCTTCAGAATATATTTTTCAGTCATGGTTATTTGCGTAATTTTTTTCTGAAACATGATTATTTACGATTTTTTTTTAATATTTGATTATTCCAAAAAAAAATTCTTAAATTTTAGTAACAATACATGTATCCGATTTAATCTTATTTTGTAATTGATCATAAGTTTATTATTTCATGATGTGGTGAAAAAATAATGTTGCTGCCAGAAAAGGTTTACATACATTTTATTTATAAACCTAATATCAATTTTGTAAACATTTACATGTATAATTTTGGAAACATGTTATATCATTTTTTCTTTATTTCTTATAAAATATTCGATAGAAATATTTATCCTCTATTTATATTAATTATTTTATTGGTAAAAAAATTAAAATAAATTATTTAATATTTATGATTTTTTTTTACACCCCATAGAATCTAATTCGATTGCAAAATTTACATTTAGAAAGTATTCCAAAATGAAAATTATTCTAGCATTTGATATATATAAATTAAAAAATTTAATTTTTAATCACTGAAATATTAATATAAATTTAATTGTGATCTTATGTGTTTATATATTTTATTATAAATGTATTTATATGACATAATATTATTAAAAATAATAAGGAATCTCATTCTTGATTTATATAAGATAGTAGTATTTATACCAAAAAAAAACTATAAATAATTAAAAAAAATGAGACAATTATGATGAATAAATACATAACTTTTTAATAAAAAACACAACTTTTTATTTTTTAATGACATATTAATTTGAATGATTAGATTTATTATTTTGGAAATTTATTTCTAAATATTTATTTTCAATATATATATATATATATATATATATATATATATATATATATATATATATATATATATATATATATATATATATATATATATATATATATATATATATATATATATATATATATATATATATATATATATATATATATATATATATATATATATATATATATATATATATATATATATATATATATTCTACTAAAATATATATTTTTGACGAAATAAGATTAATTAATTTATATATCTTTTATACACATTTTTTATTTATTTTGTATAGTAAATTTGTAAACTTGCTTCTAAAAGAATTATATTTTGTAAATAAATTAGGTGATTCAATTAATAGGGTAGATATTGTAAATTTTTTGAAATTGTAGTCTATAAATAAATATCATGTAAGAGTTACTTTATTTAAATTACATTTTAATCTTTTATGTCATATTTTAATTTAGTCTTAAAAGTATACAAATCAAATTTACACTTATTATTATATAAATAATGTTTTTAAAAGATTAATAAATAAAATAAAACTATTAAATATCATTAGTTATTTTTTAAAATATCTGGAAAATATTACATGTGATTATTATAAAATAAAAAAGTACAAATTTTATCTTCTATTAAAATTAATTATCTTATTGGTAAAAAAGTAAAATGAATTATTTAATATTTATAATTTAACTTATTTACAACCCATTAAATAAGGTTATTCATGTCCCTATTTTTTATTTATAATTTTATTCATGTCCCTATTTGTCATTATTACGGTATTACTTTATTTTATGGAAAATAAATAAATATATATGAATTGTTCTGATTCAATATTAATTAGGTGCATAGATATTATCATATACTAAAATAAAACTATTAAATATTATTAATTATTTTTTAAAATATATGAGAAAATATTACAGGTGATTATTAAAAAATAAAAAAGTATATATTTTATCCTCTATTAAATTTAATTATCTTATTGGTAAAAAGTAAAATAAATTATTAATATTTATGATTTGTCATTATTACCCTATTGTTACTCAATTTTATGGAAAAAAATAGATATATAGTAATTATTCTGATTCAATATTATTAATATTAATTAGACGTGCATAGATAATATCATATACTGAAGAATAACTAAAGAACCGTTTCGACTTCGCTTGCAAAATTATTAATATCATATTCTGAAGAATAACTAAAACATTATATTATTAGAAATGATTAAGAGTCTCATTTTTTTATTTATATAAGACAGTAGTATTTATACAAAAAATACTACAAATATATATATTTTAATAAAAAATATGAGACAATTATAATTGATAAATACACAATTTTTTAATGAAAAGTACATATTTTTCTTTTTTATGATTTGGTTTATTAGTTTGGAATTTTTTTTAAATATTTATTTTTAAGATATACATTTTTTATATTTTTATAAATAGGAAAAAGTCGACTGTTAATATAATTATTTTTATAAACAAGAATAAGTTATAAATATTTTTATAAATGATACACGGGTTCTCAAATCTTGTCTCACCTTACAAAACTATAGATGCGGGCGAACTCGTGGACATTACATCTTTTAAATTTAAAAGTTGTAAAATTTCAATTAAATGTCAGCGCTTGCAAAAAAAAAAAGTAGGACGTGATGGAGGCCGACATGTTAGAGTGTGCGAACTTAAAATCTTGATTCACCCACAAAATAAGTGAGGGTAAAACGGACATGCCTGAGTTGGACACGTTTTCTACCCCAATTTTTAATTTAATACAATTAAAAATTATATCAAATATTATCAACTATTCACTTGACTCCATAAATTAAATTATACTTTAATACAACCACATTGCAATATCATCAATACTAACTTTATCGATTATATATATATATATATATATATATATATATATATGTGAAATGTGTGTGTGAAATATATTCTGGACTGTCTTTGAAGACTTGCAAATTACACAAGACTTCAAAAATTTCAAGGTTAACTTATAATTAAATAGAGTCTCATAAAATATTTTTTAAGTTAAATTGTAATTATACAAGACCTCTATTTATTTTATCCTTGATAAATTATGACTAAATTATACAGAACATCTAAAAATTTGAGACGGTTCTGAATATACTATACCATATCCTTATATATTTTTCAATATAATATATATATATATATATATATATATATATATATATATATATATATATATATATATATATATATATATATATATATATATATATATATATATATATATATATATATATATTTATTGATGAGTTATTGATTGATATTAAAAATTTATTTGATGATTGAGTTAAACATAATAAACGCATTCAGAAGAGAGAGGTGGGGGATTTTTATTATTACTTTAAAATAAATGTACTCAAAGCATTTTATATTTTTTGATTTGATAAAATCATTCATTAGTAGAACATTTATTAACAGATCAATCAACTCAAACCCCAACTTGATAGCCATAAATGGAAAACTCTTTCCTTTCTCTTTCTTTATAGGCATATATTTGTCCTAAGATTAGCCCTTTTCAAATTAACAAACTTTTTAACATGTCTATCACCACCATTTGAAAAAAAATCCCATTTTCATGCTTCATCATTGCAACAACACCAGAAAACAAAACAAAAATTCACCTCATTTTGAAACCTTGTTCACCATATGCCAAAACAATATCATTAACCCCTCAAATTCATAAAATGGACGAAGACAAAGACAAATTAATCTTGATCCAATCTTCATAGATTTAATAATTATTCTAAATATCTACAAAACTTATGTTGTGTGACACAAACAAATGCCTGTGCCTGATCCTAGTTCTGGCCGCAAATTCATATGGCTTGTAGCATGTTTTTTGTTCATTTCTTTAATAGCAGGAGGTGTGTGCCTTGTTGCATACATGTACCTTCCTGAATCTGAAACTTCATCATGGGTACCCGTAGTCGGTGTCGGATTGGTTTGTCTACCATGGGCTTTTTGGTTTTTCACATGTTTATATAGAATTTTCTCAAGGTGTTTAGGATGTAGAGTTGGGATGATGATGAGCGGCGGCGGCGGCGGCGGTGCAAACCAACCTAGGAATGCAGATGTTGAGATTGCAGCTCAATCAACAAAAGGTGGTAGTAGTGGTGGTGGTGGTGAATTGAACAGGGTATCTTCTGTTGCATCACATGAAAGTGAAATTGCATTGGCAAAATCTATGAGCTCGTGACATGACATGTTACAAACTTTGCTTGTTCTTGTTCTTCTCATCTTTTGAGGTGTCCTAGGTGATACATATTGATCATCTTAATCTGGTGAAGGGTCTGCCTCAAAATGCTTGAACTATTCACAAATCCTCTCACCATGCATTTGCACCTCATGAATGTATAGGCCTTATTCAAGGATACATGCATGATGTATATTCAACTCAATGACATTATAGGCCTTGTTGTTCTATGAAACTCCTCTTCTTTATCAACTTTAGAAAACATTTCTTATGAGATTGTATAAATCATTCAACTCTCATTGCTTTCTTATTTCATACTTTTCTTTTTTTCGTTTTAATATGTAGTTATTTATTTATATTTACACCCCTTAGTACTTTTTTTTTCCTTCTGTCTCTTTATCCTCTTGCTTGTTTGACAGAGGTTGTATTTCTTACATCGTTTTTACGATGTTAAACAAGTTCATAGCTAGCATTTTTATATGATTTTTCTGACATGTTATTTGAAATATATAAGATATATTATTCATCAAACTTATTATGATTAAATATTGTCTGATAAAATTACTCTTTTCAATGGATCTCTAACATTTAGTTTTTGTTTCTCACAAAGTATGTCATAATGCTTGCAAATATCACCCCAAAAATTAATACATATTAAATTAAAAAGAAGAAACAATTTGAATGTGATTTTTTTGCACTAGCAACTTTTGTAAGTTATAATCGATGGGCAAACAAATGTACTTAAAAAACTATTAGATATTTGTTAAAGAAAGAAATCATAATTTTGAATCTTGAAATTATTAAGGCGTGTATCAGTATGTTTGTAAAGAATCACTAGGGAGAGGCGACACACATGTCGCTTCCACCGGTTTCTTAGTCACTTATTTGTGAGAACGAACACCCATTTTTTGATTGTGTCACCATTTTTGTAGATTACACGTTGCTCTTGGAAATCTGAAAGTAAAGTGTTCTGGTCCACAATAGTACACGAGAAGGAGATAAAGTGGAAGACTATGTTCTCCTTAATAAAGGGAGAGTTGACTGTCCACTCACGCATGATGGAAGCCTGAGATTTATGCTTACATGTTTTTATAAATACCTTAATCTTAAGGTTTAGGGGGAATTCAATTCATTATGCAAAAACACCACACACATAAAGCTTCTCATGTCCCTCCATGAGTTTGATTTAACACCTCAAACAAACCCTAAAAATTTCTGACAATCCTACATCACAAGGAGTTGTCACATATTGTAATATTACTCTTTTCAATGACATCCACTGTAGGGTCCGATAAAATTGACTTGTGTCACCACTATAAGATTTATCTAGATTGTTGTCCTCACATCAACCTCTCTGACATCATGGTGAATAAGAAGGTAACAATGAGTCCAACAATAAGGTGAACAACATGGAAGAGGTGTATTGCCATGGGCAACTTACGCCACTAGAATAAAACGTTGAAGGAAAACAACGCCAATATGAGGTTAACCCTACAAAAGAGGTTGAAATATTGGACCCACAATCTCTCACAGATGAAAAATGGGAAGCCTCGTTGCCGAAAAATTTCAAACTACTCGTGTTGGCTAAGTTTGATGGGTGCAACGATCTATATGAATACGCCACCTTCATCAACACAGATATGGAAATCATTAGACCTTCTGATTCCTTGAAGTACAAACTTCTCTATGGCATCTTCAAAGACATAACTTTAAGATGGTACATGGGTCCTCCTGGCTCTCAGTCACCACCTGTCAGAACTTGGTGAAAAAACTATTCCATCAGTTTGCAGCAATCAAGCCTAGAAAGATGGTCACCACCAGCCTTTTCAACATTCGTCAAGGTCATCCACCCCAATCAGGAAATATTTGTAGAAGCATTTTAAAATGGCCTAAGGGCGGGACATTTTAATGATTGCCCAAAGGCTCATGACTTCATTGGCCGAGGTGGTGACACGTGTAGAATGCTATATAACGGGTGAAGAAAGAAGTTATGAAAAGAAGGCTAGAGATGTCAAAGAGCGTACTGTTAGTAATATTGACAACTGATAGCGATAACAAAAAAATCATTACACCTCGCCCATTAGAGACAAGAGGATGTTCAAGCAAAGCAGAAAACCTACAAAGAGCTTCATGCCTATAAACACATTCTCTGAGAAAATATGATGTAAAGTCTTCCACATGCACGACATTTCACAACCTTTAGCGCCAAAGTCCGATGCCATGGGGACTGAGCCTAGTGGATGGGGCAAGTTCCCTAGAGTCAATGAGAACCACACTAAGGAGTGTTACTAACTCATGAAGGAGATAAAGCGTCTCATCCAAGAAGGTTATCTAAAAAAACATGTTAAAGGAAACGCCGCCCAAACTTCAAACAGATCTAACTCCCGAGGGTGAAATGCTTCTAGGAGTCTTGAGTTCAAAAAGAGAAAAGAACCAAGCAAAGAGGATAAGAACAAATCGTACGAAACATCCTTAATACCATTGCAAGAGGATTCACCAAAGGCGGGGAGACCAATTCTGTCTATAGAAGGTATGATCGCCATATCCTAACCATCAAAGGCTAGCCCAAAAGCTCTAATTTGGGCAAGATGAAAGCCCTAGAATTTGAGATCGCTTTTGCTAAGAAGGACATTGCATGTATCCACTAACATGATAACAACCCCATGGTCAAAGTATCAAGGTGACATAATTAGGAGATTAAGAGGGTGTTTATTTATCAAGGAAGCTCCATAAACATCCTCTACTAAGACGCATTTGAAAGGCTTCTCTTGGACCTAGACGACCTCAAAGCTCATTGGTGGGATTCTCATGAGAGAAAGTGTGGGAAAATGGTTATATTACACTAAAGACCACATTTAAAGCATGAGAAAGCGTCAATCAGATCAAGGTAAGGTACCTGGTTATATATGCATCATCCTTATATAACATGATTATAAGGTGAATTGCTTTTAACCATCTTGGTGCTGCCCTATCATGCATGAAATACTTATTTGCATTCTCCTAGATATGCGAGTAGGGGTTATTCGAGGGGATAAGGAGATTGTTAGAAAGTGCTATGTAGAAAGCTTAAAGCTAAATAAAACTTAGATCATGGGATTGAGTTACATTAATATAAAAACATGGGCAAAACCACAATAAGTAACTCCCGAGGACGAGGATCTGACGGTCTACTCCAGGAGATCACGAAGGCGGCAGAGGGAAAGACTTGTTAAAAACATTTTATATTATTTATGTGTTGCATCCTTTTAGTTTAGTTTAGTTTGACTTATATGTTTGGTTAAGGAAAGATACAATCTCCGCCGCTTGTATGATTAAATATATGAAATTATTGGTTTATTGAGGGGAACTCTTTTCCCCTATAATGGTAATAAGGTGCAAGGGTTTTAATGAGGTGCCTTATGTTCTTATATATTAAGAATTATTGTTGCTTTGTTTATAGGAGCTTAAAAATGTGAAAGGAAACCTTATCAAGACCGCCTATAAAGGCAATGACATATGATAGACCCTTATGAATGAGTCCATGTCGCCCATAGAGGTGATCACACATGTTAAATCCCTGGGAAAAGTTTATTACCACCCATAGAGGAAATTGCATGTGTTGGATCCCGGTGAAGAAATCATTGTCGTCCTTTGAGGAAATGACATATGATGGATACTCATGTGGGAAATCCTCATTGTCCCAAGGGAAACATTATCATACACATCATTTCCATTACAGGGCCATAACAAGGCCAAAGCCTATTCAAAACATTTTGAGGTAAACTAGATAAAACAAGTAAATGTAGGTTCACAATTTGATTAAGCCTATAAGGATGCAAATGGGTACAAGAAATCCCGTAAAGGAATTGAAGATAATTACATAAAACCTTTGGCCATGATTACAAAAAGTCGCCAATGGCATAAGATAACTAAACCATAAGCTCATCAACCTTCTAGAGCTCGTCATTTGTCAAAATCAGACTCTTATAGGTCGCTTCCTCTTTGAGGAATTTGTTTTGTTTCCTTATTACCCTAGTGCTCGGTCTGGGCAACCTTACCAGACACTGCCTCTATAAAGGGTGGGACTTACTCGTCTCCACCAACTTGACGTTGCGGATCACATTGAACAAGTCCATTTTCATCATATATAACCCATGGTGGATGAAGGCCATCTACTCATTCTCCTGCTCGAAATACTGCTTTGATGTTTCCACTAATTCATCCTTGAGTATGGACAACTCGCCCATCTAGTTTCTTCAAAGAATTCAGGGTCTACTCAGGGGACCCCTTTAAGCTTTCTTTTGAAGTGGCAAGAGGTTGTGCCTCCATCGCATCCTTTTTGAGAAGAGACTTTAAGTCCTCATTTTATTTTAGCATGGTCCTTACGCTGTCCTATGTCAGAGTGAAACTTCCTTTAGCCCTAGAGAGTTGGGATCTCATCTCACCGACAAATTGGGTATATTTTTCCAGTTGAACCCGCTCAATTAGAAGACCCCCATGATATATGATTCTTTGACATGCTTGGCAATTAGAAAGTTGCATATTATGGATGGGCTAGTATTCAATAGGGAAGTCCTTAAGAAAAGGGAGGCGAGCCTCAACTCATCTTTTGTTGGAGAAGCCCTCCTCTCTGCACCTTACCTTTCCTAGAAATTATCACCTAGTTGTCCTTCGGGACTTGAGAAGGACGTCTGAATTGGGGTTTTCAAAATTATTTCTTTTGCAAATTCTTCTCACAAATAAACAATGATAACTAAGCAAGAAGTAAAAGTGACACATTTGGTTTATACAAGTTCACCTTAGAAAAGGCTACCCTTGGCCACCCACAAATGCGATTTTGCCTTAGATAATGAATTAATCCAATAATCTATAAAGATTACAACAACCTCTAAGAGTTTAGAAAAACACCTTAGCCCTCTCAAGTAATTGTAACTACAACTTAGTCACTTGAGGAAACAAATCTAGAAAGATTTACAATCAAACAATGTTTACAAGATTGCTTCTAAAAAGTAGGTTTAACACTT